AGAGGGGGAGGGGAAGGAGAGAGAGAGGGGAGGGGGAGGAGGGGGGAGGGGAAGGAGAGAGAGAGGGGGAAGGAAGAAAAAGAGAGGGAAGGGAGGAGGAAAGGAAGAATGAGGAAGGGAGGGGAGAAGAGGGAAGGAGGGAGGGGAGGAAGAAAAGAGAAATTGTCTGCTGTGTTCTTTCAAAGCAGAGGCGCCTGCACAGTCGCCTCAAACAAGCTATTCTCTAGACCGCTGTATGTCAGTACCTGGCTAAGGACCCGGATGAGAGAGCCACTCAGCTAAATGTTTGCTAACTGTTGCTTTTTGGCAAAGTTCAAAGCTTTCTCAGGGATGAGATTACAAAAGAGGGTCTCAGTGTTCCCAAGTAATAAATCTGGTGGTACATTTAGATAACACTTAGAGCAATGCATCCTGAATTAGTGTCTTGGAAGCAGTACATGACCAGGGGTGCAAACAGGTCTGGTTGCCTTCATCCCAGGACAAGCCCACAGTGTTCCTGAAATGTCAAACCCAGGACTATTTCAGTGACCTTAGGAAACAGCTTTCAGCTCTGTGTGACCTTCTCTGGCATTAACCAGAATAGTGTGTTAAGATACATAATCCATCTCATATTACAGGAGACTGGGCAATGGAAGAGGACACTTTAAAAGGGATTTTTCTCTCTTAGCCTCTTGAGAGACCACAAAAATCTATGGCCTCCGTTAATGTTGACGTATTTTTTGAGAAGGAAATATAAGATGTGGGGTGTGTGAGTTTGGTCTTCTAGGGTTAATAAGTAGAACATTCTTAAGCCTCATGCTATATGGATTTTTTTCCAGTAAGAAAAGAAAACATTTCCTTTTCTGTGGGTACAATAATCTCATTTCCAGGAGGATAGGAGAATTTGGAAACATCTCCAGACTCCATTTCCATGGCCCTTCAGCTACGTGCCCACTGTCAAACTTTTTTTTCCAAGGGTTCTAGATCAGACATCTGGACATACAGATGGATTCTGAAACCTAGCAGATTTTAGAGAAGAGAAGTGTTTCAATTAGCTGGTGTGCTTAAAGACAATAGTAGCTATTCCTTTTTACATCAGGTGGCCTGAGTACTGTTTCTCAAGTACACTGAGGTCTCTCAGGAGCTGTATTCAGTGGTGTTCCAGTTACTCTCTATTGCTGTAATAAAAACACTGACCAAAAACAACTTGGGAAGGAAAGGATTTATTTTATCTTACATTTCCTGGGTCACAGTTCTTCACTGGGGGAAGTCAAGCAGGAGCTGAAGTACAAACCATGGAGGGCGCACCTTACTGGCCTGTTCCCCCGGCCTGTGCTCAGCCTGCTTTTTTATACAACACAGGCCCACCTGCCCAGGGGCGGCACTGTTCACAGTGGGCTGGGCCCTTCCACATCACTTAATAATCAAGAAAATGCCCCACGGACATGGCCACAGGTCAATTCAATGGAGGAAATTCCTCAACTGAGGTTCCTTCTACCCAGGTGTGTCAAGTTGACAACTGAAGCTGTCCAGCACAAATGGGGACTTTGATTGGACCTGGGCATCCCAGAGGGCCTGTCATCCTCCAGGACCTGTCACCTCTTTACAGCTTGGCTGATGGCTTCCAAGAAGGAACAGTTCAAGAAGGTGAGCACAATGTGCAATCATTTCCCAACCTTCTGCTGACATTCATTTGCTTGCTAATATGTCATTGGCTGAAGCAAGTCTTGTGTTCAGGTCCAGAGCCGGTAGGGTGAGTGGAGTATTCAAAGGTATAAGGACCAAGAGGTGTGGCTCATAACTGGCTGCCAGTATCTCCCCAACTGTCAGTGCCAAGGTAGGATGGCTTGTTCACAGTCTTTGACTTTGCAGTCTTAGAAATTCAGTGTGGTTAGTGCATGTTTAGCCCCATCCTTTGCTTTCAAATTGCCTCTCATTCTCAGAGACTATTAGCAGGATTATTGTGTTATTATTTCAAGACTCTGTCTCCTTGACCACAGATTATCAGACCAGAGTAGACATCTCACCTAACAAAAGAATCATTCTTTTCTCTGGATTGGTTCAATCAGATTCTCTTCTATAACTTTGGAGTTGAAATGCTGATAGACTACGATCTGAGTTGGCAGAAAAATTATATAAGCTCTCCTGAATACTCTAAAACGACGAGTAACATCTGTAATATGACCCTGCCTCCTGAGAGGACTGGAAAATGAGACTGCCAAGCCAAAGGTGACAATGATCCAAGAAACACTGGTCAGCAAAGAGCTGCTAGAGGGCCCCAAAATAGAATAGAACCTATAAGCTATTCTCTAACACGTATCACGTTTTTGCTAGCCCAGAGAGGATAAGTTATGTGGAGCAGAGCCTGGAGAGATCAACCAGATGAATCCAGTCTAGATTAGTCACAACAATCGACTTGACAGACTCGCATGCATAGTAATAGTTTGGTATTGTAAATCATCAACATGTTGAGGCTGTTTGCTATGCAACATTATTGTGCCAACAGCGGGATGAATATAACTTTCAGTGTGAAGGGTCTGACTGGCCAATGCCTTGCCCCACTGGTCACTTGGGGCCTCAGTCACCTTTATCTTCTGGTTCTACTAATGCTTTCAATATTGGCTTTGTGTGTATTTTCAGAGCCTGGTCAACGCCTGTGGGAAATGCCAACTGGAAGCCAGTCTGGAAAGCCTTTGGGAAGGAAAAAAAATACGAACAATATTTAAAGACCCAAACCTGGAAGTTGCTCACATCCTTTCCATTTAGAGTCAACTGGGAAGAATGTAGTCACAAGACTATACCTAGAAGGGAAAATTAGCTTTTGATGAGCAGTTAGCAATCTCCTCTGACAGATGGTGTCTTGGCCCATTTTGTGCTGCTATAACAGATTATCTGATCCTGGGTAATTCATAGCAGAGTTATTTCTTAAAGTTCTGGAAGCTGGGATATCCAAGATCTAGAGGCCAGGAACTCCAGTCCTCTTGCTGGTAGGAGGGCAAGAGAGTGAATTGATCTCACAGTTCAGACTCTTTTGCAATCAGAACAGATCCATTGAAGAGCCCTTAAACATTCCACCTCTCAACATAGTTGCATTGAGGATTATGCCTCAATGAAGGATTGTCTGCTTTTGATTGGTCTGTGGGCATTTCTACAGGGGATTGTCTTAATTAACATTCAGAGTGATGAAGGCCTCCAAAACAGGCCATAAACAGAGTGGTTCAAGGCTTCAGAAACTTTCATCTTGAAGAGAATATTTAGGAAATAAAATGCCTGCCTTTAACTTTTTTCGATTTATTTTTATTTTATGTGTATGAGTGTTTAGTCTGCATGTATGTAAATGCACCTGCATCATGCAATGCCTATAAAGGCCAGAAGAGGGTGTCAGATCCCCTGGAACTGGAGTAACAGACACTTGTTAGCTGCCATGTGAGTGTCAGGAACTGAATCCGGGTCCTCTGGAAGACCAGCCCTCTTAACCACTGAGTTATCTCTCCAAACCCAAAATGTCTGCCTTTAAATGTTTCAAAGTAGATCATGGTGAGAGAGAAGGATTATTCTGTCACATCTCCAGGACTAAATTAATGAGACACAATAGGGAGAAAATACAGAGAATGTATTTATGTTCATTATAGGAAAAGAAGACTCTACTGGAGAAATACAAATTTATTTATACCTCAGACACACTTTAGACTAGCAGAAGAGTCAAAAACTAAATGCTAGAATTTGTTGAATAATATATGGTGACAGACAGTATTAGGGCTCTTTCAAGAACTTTCCGCCCTGGAAGTCTAGCTTGGTGAGGCTCCATCCTCTCTTGCTGAATCTTCTGAGGAGGCCACTGTCCTCCACTTACCTTAATTTATACAAGTTTCTGTCTTGGTGTCTTCTCTTACTGAATTTATCTCCCCAGTTGTGGAAGCCATTTATTATAGCTCCACAACCTTCTCTTCAAAGCTCAGGGCTCACTGGCAATCCCGCAGAGACGATACACAAGTTAGGCTTGGGGGTGGAAGTCTTCTAGATAACCTCTTCGTGGTGTTGCATATCCTCTGGGCTGTGGGTTCTGTGGTGGATGGAGAAGCTGGCCAGGACAGGGAAGGAAGGCAGCATCTCACTTAGTCATCCTATGGTTCCTGGAAGAAACCTGAGACCTTCAAGAAAGGACACACAACCCTGGCCAGTATGCCCCTGCAGATACCGTCGGGTCTGCTACATTGCCATGCACTGAATGTTGCTTGGAAGGTGAGTGGGATGGTCTGGAAGCTCTGTCAGTGGAAGATGTCCACTGTCTATCCGTATCTCCTTCGAGAAGCACTGAGGGAAGATGCCTCCACACCGTTAGGAGATCCTTTTTTAATTTGTTTATTGATTGATATTTCTCTCTCTGTCTCTCTCTCTCACTCTGTGTGTGTGTGTGTGTGTGTGTGTGTGTGTGTGTGTGTGTGTGTGTGTGTATACGTGATACAGCCAGCGCACGT